AAGCAGACAGTGAAACATTGCCGCAGTAAATCCCCAGCCTTTGCGTCTAGCACAGCCACAAGCTGCTCTATCAAGTAGACACATCGCTCGGAACAAACCTTGCTGGAATGGAGTACAGCTCCCAGCTCCTCGCTCTCTCTGAGTCTCAGGCAGACAGCAGACTACCGGAGCTCCGGCTGCTCTGACACAGCTTGCAGCTGCAGCCAGCCCCTCCTCTGCAATGACCAGTCCCCTGTCCCTATCCCTGTCCCCGCCTTCTCTTCCCTCCCCCACCACCGGACCGTGTCCGAGCCTCACAGCATCCCTGCAGTGGAAAGCATTCACTGATCCTCCTCGGCTATCTCTCATTCATCCCCTTCACAATCTGCGAGTCCCATTGCCTGTAAACCACAACTCTTCCATCAGAACGTAAAGGAGCAGAATTAGGCCATTCAGCCCATCTATTCACCTCAGATCACGGCTGATCTGATTATCCTCAACTCCCACTTTTCTCCATAACCCCTGATTCCCCTTCCTGATGAAAAATCTCAGCAGTGAATGAACTTAACGAGGCAGCCTCTCTCAGGTAAAGATTTATTGTCACATATATCTGGGGAGGTATGGTGAAAAGTATTCTGTTGCCACAATCCGACGCCATTTTGAGGTACAGTGAGGAATAAATAGAGTGTCATTAAATAGAGTGTCATCTTCATTAACCAAACCCAGCTCCAGGACTGCTGCAAGGTCCCCGGCCTGTGCCTACCATGACACGACCCTCTGAGAAATTCCTTCTCCTCTCTGCCTTCTTGGGCAACGCCTCATTCTGAGATTAGACCCCTCAGATCCTCCTTGAGGAGAAAATCCGACAAGAGGTTTTCGAAATCACGAGGGTAGACCGGGAGGAATTTGTTCCCGCTCGCGAGGCGATGTGGAAACGAAGCGAAGGCGATGGGAGTGAGAAAGGATTCAGCCAGTGGATAGTCTGGCTTCAGAAAGTACTGCCTGGGAATGTGCTGGTTCGTTCGGGGGGGGTATTCATTGGTTATCCAGATAAAAATAATGGGAAAGGATTTGGAGAGAAGGCAGGAGGTGGTCACGAGGTAATAATGCTCATTTAATAAGCCAGAACAGACACAGTGGGCCGAATGGCCTCCTGCTCCGCCACAACACCACTGAGATTCCTCTGTGATTCTGGCCCTAGACTCCCCCAGTGAGGAAACTATATCTCCTTGCGACGACCTTGTCTTGACCTGTCACCAAGGTCATCGCGGTTCCTTGGTTCAACACAGCATGCATCAAGTTAGAAAAATTTTCACTTCAAACCTCTTCCCCAAAATGTATTGACGCGTTGCACAACAAGCCAAATTAACCAACTTCTGTGACAATGGGACTTCGAACAGAGCTGTGAACGATATTTTCAATTCTAATTCATTCCAGGGGCTCTCACCAGCATTTCAGACTCATAATTCAGCCCCTTTTCTGAAAACCAAATACTTAAACTGAGATTGCAGTGTGATATAAACTGGGACAAAATAGATGCCATTCAAGATGGTAGCGGAAAGCAGGGCTGTGTGTGCACTCTTGCCTGTGGCTCATCCACTTCCATCTGCTTTCCCTTTCTCTGCTCTTTTTCTTTGCTCTCTTTCTTCTTCTTTTCTGTCCAATCATAGAATCCCGACAGTGTGGAAACAGGCCATTTGGCCCAACAAGTCCACATCAACCCATAGAGCATCCCACCCAGACCAAGCTGAGTAAACGTGATTTCCTCAATGGGAAATCATTCCTGAGAAATTTATCAGAATTCTCTGAGGTGGTGACAAGCATGATATATAAATATAAAGAATCCACACTGACTCCTGGAAGAGCATCCCACCCAATCTCACACACCTATCTTATCTCTGTAGCCTTGCATTTCCACCTAACCTACATGTCCCTAGACACTATGGAGCAATTTAGTATGGCCAATCCACACTAGCCTGCACACCTTTGGACAGTGGGAGGAAACCAGAGCACTTAGAGGAAACCCACACAGACACAGGGGAGAACATGCACACTCCACATAGATTATTGCCCAAGGCTGGAATTGAACCCAGGTCCCTGGCACTGTGAGGCAGCAGTGCTAACCACTGAGCCGCTCAGTATCAGCAGCAAGAGCGGGCCTCTTGTGCAGTTGCAGACGCGGATTCTCCCGGCGATTAGAGGCAGCGTGTTATGCCCAGAGCAGAGATTCCATCGAGGCAGCAGTGGAGCCAGGAACTGCGGTCCCAGTAGGCCCAGAGCAGGGCCTTCTGGTTGTGGGGTGAGGGTGTAGGTTCAGCAGTGTCAGTGAGGCAGGCCCAGCAGCAAAGAGATGGCACCTACAGTGTGGTGACTCTTACATTGGCCCATCTGGCACAGGCAACAGTGACCTGCAGTTACTGGAGGCTAGGTGCCAGTGTGGACTGGGTTGGAAAGACTGTCATTCTGAGCTCTTTATTTCCGTAATTTTTTTCCCTAAGAATTTGTTCTTAAGTACCCCTACCTCGGTAGCTTTATACCTAAGATAGCGCAGTAATGTGGCGACGTGTAAACTTTGCACTGCACTCGTCTTGAGTATAAAAAGCTAATTCAATTCAATTCAAAGGTTTACACTGAGATTGCAGTAGGATGGGACAAAACAGTCACAGAGAGACTGCCCCCTTGACCTGTCCGTCCTCCCTGGACTGACCTATCCCCTCCCTACCTCCCCACCTACACTCACCTTTACTGGCTCCATCCCTGCCTCTTTGACCTGTCTGTCTCCTCTCCACCTATCTTCTCCTCTATCCATCTTCTATCCGCCTCCCCCTCTCTCCCTATTTATTTCAGAACCCCCTTCCCCTCCCCCATTTCTGAAGAAGGGTCTAGGCCCGAAACATCAGCCTTCCTGCTCCTATGATGCTGCTTGGCCTGCTGTGTTCATCCAGTTCTACACCTTGTTATGACAGAGAGACTGCAGTGGGTTCAAAGTTATGAGGGATCTGGACAGAATGGCCAAGGCGGAGCTGTTCCCACAGCTAGCAGGTTCGAAACACGAGACGACACTGATTTGTGGAGACTGGTGCCTGAAGCAGTGGCAACACGAGGAGAAATATTTACAGACAGCGAGAGCTTCAGATCCGGAACAGGCTGCCCCACAGGGTGGCGAGACACTATCAACTGTTCAAGAGAGAACTGGCTCATTGTCAGTGATCGGGAGAAGATAGGGACGTATTGTTCCTTTGGAAAGACCAGCACGGACATAGTGGGCCGAATGGTCTCCCGGGCTAGAATCATTCTGTGACGTCGCCAACTCTTCAACAGCAAAAGGGAAAGCTACCAGCTCAGTGCAAGGAAGGAGCACAGGAGACCCCTGCAAGGATACACTCAGCAGCCTCATCAGGAGGTTGCGAGTCAAATAGCAGGGTGTCTCGCTTGAGGTAAGAACGTGAAGAGCACAATAAACAGGAGCAGGAGGAGGCCATTCGACCTGCTCCAACATGTAGGGTTCTGGTTTGCCATCAGTCATCTGCTGATCTTAGGTGGTTCAAATCAGATCCCTGGTTCCGGGCACTGGACCTTTCTTTCGAATTTTAATTTGCAACAAGAAGCTGCTTTCAGCCATGATTGGGACTTTCTGCTCCAGTGGGGCGATTGGCTCTGACGTCCATTCGGTGTGGCCATTTACTTTCAACAAATTGTCCCTGTGCAGAAATCTCAAAAAGCCAGCCAGCATCCAAGCTCAGTCAGTGAAGGAGAAGGTAAATAGTGTGTCGGCCTTTAATTCAAAAGGGAATGGAGTTTAAAAGTTGGGAGGTTTTGCTAAAACCCGTACGAGGCATTAGTCAGTTGGAATAGTGTGAACAGTCTTGGGCCCCTTATCTGAGGATAGATAGACTGCTATTGGAGAAGGTTCACTCGGCTGATCCCATGTCTGGAGGGACTGTCTCCTGAGGAGAAGTTAAATAGGTTGGTCCTGTATTCATTAGAGTTCAGAAGATTGAGAGGGGACCTTATTGAAACATACAAGATTCTTGTGGGATTTGACAGGTTAGATGTGGAGAGGTTGTTTCCGCTTGTGGGACAGTCTAGGACTGCAGGGCAGAAACTCAGAATAAGGGATCGCCCTTTTAAGACAGAGATGAGGAGTTTCTTTTATCTGAGGTTGCGAATCTGTGGAATTCTACACCCCAGAAGGCTCTCAAGGCTGGGTCATTACGTATATAACTCAATGGGCTGAATGGCCTACTGCTGCTCCTGCATCTTATGGTCTTCCTTGAGTTTTGGAACCTCAACAAAGTGTTGGTGAAACACATTGGCCCACAAGGGAGTTCGAACGGGGACAACTCGGGCAGCCATTTTGGAGACTCTCTTCAACACTGCCAAGTCCTTCAAGCCAAAGTGGCCCAGGTCCAAGAACGCCATGACCGAGAAAACAGGCTAATGCTCTGTAGCAGATCAGATTTTTAACCATCATAGCCAGGCCTTATCTGATCTGAGTAGAAACGTGCACTGTGAACAAAACTTTCTTTGGACGGGATTCCAAAATGGCTTCTCACTACATCACATCATATTCCCAACACCATCAAACGACTGCAGTGTAGAAGCCATCCCTTTGCTCCCCCAGTTGCTGGACAAATAACTCATTCTCCCCCCCACCGTGAACTGAGATTGGGAGATTTTTCATCTTCAGTCATAGGATTTGGGTATCATTGGCTCATCCCCAATTGCCCCTTGAAAAGCTGGTATGAATTGTCTATATGAATCACTTCAGTCTGTGTGCTGTAGGAACACCCACACAGTGCCATTAGGGGGGGAGTTCCAGGATTTTGACCCAGTGACACTAAAGGAACGGCCGATATACTTCCAAGTCAGGGATGGTGAGTGGCTTGGAGGGGATCTTGGTGTTTCCATGTATCTGCTGCCCATAGCGTCATACAGCATGGAAACAGGCTCTTCGGCCCAAACTGGTCCATGCTGACCATGGTGCCCACTCAGCTAGTCACAATTGCCCACATTTTGTCCATATTCCTCTAACCCATTCCCATCCATGTATGTATCCAAATGTTTTTTAAATGTTGCTATTGTACCTGCCTCAACCACTTTCTCTGGCAGCCCATTCCATGTATGCACCACTTTCTGCGTGAAGAAGTTGCCCCTCAGGTCCTTCTTCAATCT